AATGAACCCAAGAAGAAGAAATACGCCAAGGAGGCCTGGCCGGGCAAGAAGCCGACCCCGTCCCTGCTGATCTGAGCTGGGCTGAGGGAGGGTGGGAGTCACCAACTCCACAAACTCTTCATGTGCGTCTTTTTAAACTTTCAGTGTTCTAACAGATGTAATACTGAGATTGGAGAAGTGAAATATCCTTTAAAGATCTGTCTTCAAACATTTTTATATGTCTGTTTAAAAAAAAAATACAGCTCCCAGCTCCTTTTGAACCAAAATCCCTGCAGCCTTTTCTTAGCCACCACTGTCCCAGAGGTCTTTACACTGAGTTTGGGTCCACCAGTCAAAGAGGCAGTCACACAGTTCCATTCTCACTTATGGCATGGCCCTGCTGATCCGTGTGTTTTGGTGACAGGCTCGCTGTGGGTGACACTGTTCCTGCTGGACATGCTCACAGCAAATGTTTCTGGGGCCAAGCCTTGCAGAGTCCCATTGATAGGAGTTGTAAAACTTGCAGAATATAGGTCAGCTTTTATTTTTTATATTTTCAAAACCCACCAATGTGGGGCATTCTCTTTTCATTATTATTATTTTTAGTTTGCCTACAGCTTGTTTTAATTTCCATGTAAAACACTAGAGCATCCCATGAGTCGTAAGTTAAGATGGACAAGCAGTAGGTGGGTTCCTTAGCTTTGTTCCAGTGCTGCAGGGTGGGGGCTGTGGGATGGGTACTGGGTGCACAGGTCAGAGTGTCTGATGGGGAGACAGGCACTGTCTGCACTGTGCTGTGGTGCCAACAGCCCTGGTGACTCCCCTGGGATAACTCAGGGTGAGGTTAACACAGAGAACAGTTTCTTTTACATTTGGTGGCCCTTGTAACTTAGTGTCATTTTTATTTGCAAATGGAACTTTTAAGCTTAGCATATATGAGATGCAACAGGACACAAAGCTGAGCAGTTGTCAGCAGAGCCAGAGGACTGGTTCCCTTCCACACCTAAACCCCCAATCTGCAAATATTTTGGCTGCTGGGAACAGCAGGTGAGGATCAAGTGCTACTGAGATCCAGAATAGGAATTCTCAGTAGAGATAATAAAGTAGTGCACAAGCTGGTTCCATAATACCACATTTTTTGATTCCTTCATCACCTTTTCCCATTGAATAAAATGAGAAGCTTGATGGGTTTTTGCTCCAGCCCTTCAGATCTGTGGGCTTAGATTTGAAAATGATTCACATGTCCAGACACTGTGGCTGTACTTTACACAAGGTAAGGCCAGAGCTCTCTTATTCTTTGGTTTGCTCTGGGGTTTTTGTAAACTCTCTAGTGCAGTTCAGCTACAAGTCACATTCCTTTGTTGTTTGGGGGATCCAGAAAATGTGCACCAAAATGAGACCCTGCTCACTGTGTGCAGGACTGTGGCTGCCTGGTGAAGTAGTGCTGGGGTGCTGGATCAGTACTGTGTTCAGTGCAGGGGGTGCTGGATAGTGCTGGAGCAGGGCTGTGTTCCAGTGCAGGGAGTGCTGGATGCAGCAGACCCTTTTGGGCAGATGCTCCAAAATCCAAGTGAGTTCTGCTCTGTGATATCATGTCCCTGAGGTAAAGCTGCCCTGCTCACGAGTGATGGATTCAGAGACTGCTCCGTTCCCTCCTTGCACCATCTGTCCAGCTCACACTATTCCATGGGTGGTTCAGCACCTGCTCTATGATCCAGCTGTGCTGTTCTGTGTTTAGTTACCACTGATGATTCAGCCCTCGGGCGTTTGTTCTGCTTCCCAGCACTCCCACAATGACTCTCCAAATCTTTCTCCCTTTAGTCTGGCCTGTAGGATTTTCGTTTCCCACTCAGTTGCTTTCTGAAGGCAACTCTTTAGGATAAGAATAGTCAGGGCAAACAAAAGTTGAACAAGTTTTCTTCTTTTTCTGTTTTATTTTGGGTTTTTTTTGTCTGTTGGGGGGTAGTTTTGGTTTCTTTGCAAGTGGCCCTTTGCAAGATTTTTCTTGACAAGGGAAGCTTCACTGCTCATTGTTTTTTAAAGCTCTTCTCCTCCCTGGCTCTGAACCAGCTCTCGTTATTTCAGAGCTTAGGGGCCACGACTGGCCAGGAGGGGACAGGAACATCAAGGGGCTTTGTACAGACGTTTGTACACTTGTGTAATATGTAATAGGCCTTTTCACACTTCTGTTGAGCTTTTTAACTGTAACCTTTACTATGTTGTAAATTAAATGCGGATTTTGCCAGTTTGGAGTGTAGTGTGTTCGTTCCAGTCTGCACTGGTGCAGCTGAGGCTGCCCCTTATGCTGTGGCTCATGGGAGGATCCTACCATGGCAAAGTGCCCTTCTCCCTGCAGGCCTTGTCCTGCCTCAGGCTGCAGCTCCTAAAGCTGCTCGTGACCCTCTCTGCTGCCTCGTGCTGCACTTTGGCACATGAGTGACACCTAACAGTGGATTTTGAACAGTGGTTGCCTTTGTTTTCCAAGTGGAGTTTTTCCTGATTCGGGCCTAATTCTCTCTGTAAGTTGTACTTCAGAGCCCAGCTCTGCTGCTCTCATTGCCCAGGCTGCTGCTCTGACACAGCATGGCCTTGGGCAGGCTCAGTCCCCTGTCCCTGGGGACACTGCAGTGAGAAACACCAACCTGGGGCCTGGTTACCGAGAGCCATGGGACCTGCACAGGGTTGAGAGGGATTCCCTGGCTTTGATGAAATCAGCAATACTTATGCTCTACATAATTTTTTTCCCAATGCAGCAGCAGCTGGGGAGGGTACATTTGCACTGCGGTTTTGGCAGCAGGCTCACAGTTCATGTGCAAGCTGCTCACCTGCCACAGGCAGAAACTGCTGGTGCAGGTGAAGGGGTTCCCTTTGTGGTCTGACACTGTCAGTGTGGGTTGGTGAGCTGTTCATCTCCTGTATTAAATGAAGGATTTAAAAGGGAGGCAACTTACACAATAATCAGAAGACCTCTGCAGTGTGAATGCAGAGATGGGAACAAAATAGAGACTAGTTTACAGCTGAATCAACAATGACTGAGCTAAAGAAGATAGTAGTGTTTTCCAGGAACATCTGTCCTTGCAGCATTCCCTGGATTGTCACTGCAACCCTTCCTTTGTCCTTCGGTCTGGAAATAGGGGACCAGGGAGAGGGCAGCACCAGGGGGCAGCCAGAGCTCGAGGTGAGCTGACAGGGGGTGTGTTCGCAGGGCTGTTCAGTGAAGTACTGATGTGTCAGACCCTGCACTGACACACCTGAAAGCAGGACTTGTTGGAGAGGAGCTGGGATCATCCTGGGGCCCTTCAGGAGAGCAGGAACAGCTTCCAGTGCAGAACAGGTGAGTGTGCAGTTGTGCAATTACACCAAGGACTTTGAAACCTCAGTGGCACGGGGAGAGACCACAGGAGAGGGCTGGACTGCAAGACATGGCTTGGGAGAAGACCTGGGGCTGTAAGGGCGGTTGCTGGGCTCAGGGGTCAAGTGCTGTTTGAGATGTGCTTTTTCAAAAGCAATCAGGACAGCTGTAGGTTCTTTGATCTCAAAACTCTCAATCTAGCAGTAGTAGGTAAAGGGGAAAAAATGTTTCTGCTTTTGCTTCTCAACACCAGGTACAGCTCCTCATCCATAGGAGCTGTGGGGTGTCAGTGGGCCTTACCTGCTGGGTGTGGGAAAGGCAATGCTGGAGAAAGAGGGAGAGTGTGAAGTAAGACTGGAGCCAGTTTAGGATCAACAACTGTGGAGTGTGGGTCACAGGGTTAAATGACCCTTCCCTTAAGGTCCCATAACCAGTAAAACAGCAAGAGCAGCAGCTTTCCAGCAGCCCTGGTGGTGGATTTGGTTATTGTCTTTTGTTTTGTATGAATTTTCCAGAACCGATGTCCTCCTCAGGGAAGCTTTAAGAGAGAAGCAGCTAAAGAGCGTCAATCTCTGCTCTCCACCTTCTTGTACATCACCCTTGCTGTCTCTTTTGCCATAAAATCTGGCAAACATCTGGGAAAGGTTTCAAGCACAGTTGCAGAACGGTAGAGGAGGAGGAAGCCTTAAATACTAAAGCTTAAACAATACCGGGGTGCAGAGCAGATGTGGGGGCAGGATCGCCCCGGACCGGCGGCCCCCCCACGGGGCAGCGTCACCCCGGCTCCCCGGCCCCCCATCATTCCCGCCGGGATAACCCCCCGCACCTCCCCCCCATCGTTTCCGCCGGGATAACCCTCCGCACCTCGCACCTCGCTCCTGCCGCAGCCCCGGGCCCGGCTCGGCCCCGACCGGCCCCGCAGCCCCGCGGCGTCCCCGCGCCCCGCACGGTCCCGCAGCGCTTCTGCTGCACCGGGGCAGAGCCTCGAGCCCCGCACCGCCTGTCCCCCCGGAGCCCCGGCCACGCTTCGCTCGGGGGGGCTTCAGAACTAACGAGGGGACCGATGGGCCCGGGCTGGGACGTGCCCGCTCGGTCATCCCGCTGCGAACAGGAGGATTTCAGGACGGGCAACGCCGGCAATCCCACCTGCCTCCCACCGTTCCCTTTCGGATCTGTGTTTGCTGCAGGGAGCTGTGGTGACACGGAGCTGGAGGGGACGGGGGCTGCCAGCCCTGCAGCCCAGGAGTGGGGTGGGGTGTTCACAGGGGTCCCGGCCCTTCCCGGGCTGCACCGGGGCCGGCGGGGAGTGCTCGGGCACCGCAGCATCGCTCCACACACACTCTGAAGGGGTCCCGGGGGCAAACACCATCCACGGCGGCAAAGCCACGGCCATCCGGGGCCTGCTCGGGGTACGTGTGTTGGGCACGACCACCCACTGCCTCGAGAGCTCCGGGTCAGACCCCCCAGAGAGCCCAGAGCTGCCTCCACAGCCAGTGCATGCTCCTCTTGCACCTCATCGCCCGTACCCACAGTCCAACACCAGCACTCTGTACTGGTTCCCTCAAGGTCTCGGAGCAGCTGGCAAAGCCCAAGGCTGTAAATCACCACCTCATATCTCACTGGCGAAGCTGCCACGCCCAGCTGAGGGAGGAAACTCAGTGAAGAGAGCACAGAAGAGAGAATAGAGCTGTTTATGCTCAGCAATTGGAGGGTGCAAAGACAATCATCAGTGCTTCCTCTTCAGCGCTGAGACACCAAAGTCTGCTGAAGTCCAGACATTGCCACCCCACATGGCTTTGCTCACAAGCCAGAGGCTTCTGCCACCATAACAAGACTTTCTGGGTCACCAGCTGTACTGTCCTTCCAGAAAAGAATTGTGTGCCAACCCGAGGAATGTTGGCAGCAGCCTCCAAGAACGCATCTCTCACCTGTGGGCAGGTCATGTCCACAGGAAGGCCTGGTCTTCATCTGATTTGTGAGGCTATCCCAGCAGTCCCAGCAGAGGGGAGACAGATTCCTCAATGCAGGCAGTCCAGTACAACAAGGTTCTCATGATTATTGTACCCCCCTCACACATCAAGCTTGTCTAGAAAATTACAAGTCAGTATCGCAGAGCTTTTAGTAAACACTAGTGATTTTGTCCTGGTTTCTAATGCCAAAATCACTGATTCACGTGCAGTGGGATCTCGTGCTCTCCTCCTTTTCTCTTGCTCTTGGCCATCATGGCACTCACTGGGGACTGAGAAATCCTAAGAACACGCAGAAAACCAAAAGCCAAATGCCACTGGCAGCAGAGGCAGCACTGCTGGTTTTCACACACTCATCATACTTCGTAAAATCAACTTCCCTGATGGCACACAGGTGATCCACACGACATTCCTGCTTGCATGGTGCCAGGTCATATCTGGCAGAGTTGAACTCGTAGTAGCTCTGCAGGTAGTGAGGGTCCCCTGAGATCCTCTCCAGCACCGTCTGCATGGAGCGCGCGGAGCCATCAGGGACCTGGAAGGCTTCTGTCAGGTTGTACTCTGCCTCCCACGCTGGGAACTCTGCCTCCCACGCTGGGAACTCTGCCTCCCCTGGCGAGGCCATCATGTTGGCACGAGTGAGGTTCAAGTAGTAAGTCACCATATCCTGAGGGAGAGAAAAACAGAAGTGGGGACACATCAGGACAGGATTGGCCCGGAGTGAGATGCTGGGCTGGGCTGGGATCACAACCACAGCAGCACATCCCCTGCCCCCAGGGCACAGCTGCCCCTGGCAGGGCTTCCTACCAATACAGGTACCTGGAGACACACCTCAGGTGAGAGCCTCCAGAACCCACCCCAAATGCAGCCTGTTTCCTAAAGGTTGAAGGGGTGGCTTTGCTCTGCTTGATTTTTACATCCAAACATCAGAAATTTTGAGCCTGGCCTTCTTCAAACATCAGTTAGTTACTATCAGTACTGGCCACTGGCAGAAGCAAGGGCTGGAGGAGTGTTACTTCCCAAATAAAGTTAATTTCTCAACTGTGAACAAACTGAAGAATCAAGTTTTTCACAACCTCTGTTCTCAGTCTCTTGCCCTTTTTCTCTCTGCTTCACTGGCTCCCCAGCCTTGCACAGGATATTTTAGCATTCACTTCACAAGCTATAAACATGTAAACAGAGCAACTACAGAGAGCTCCATCCACTGCAATAGGAGGTACAAGCATCCATCCTCTACCTCCTGGCAAGCAAGAGATGGGAAACAACAGCTGCCCCTACAATTCACCTCAATTCAGATCAAATCCATCACTTTAGCAAACAGAGGTACACAAATAATTTTCCAGATGGTTTACAGTTTTTGGAGGGGATCTGACAGGTCTGTTAGTACTCAAAGAGGAGTTCTGTGATCCACATTATCTGGGGAGCAAAGCAAGCGTCAAAAGAATCTCTCTTAAGGACATGAACAACCTGGCAAAACCTGTCTGCCCCTGCTCTGAGGAACTCATCCCAGCAGGATGCACTGGCTGTGGGGGCCTGGGCCTCAACTCACTGACACTCTGACTAAATATCTGTGCCAGACACAAGGCTCAAATATCCTGAGTCAGGGTCCTCTCCCACACAGCTGCTCAGCTCCTGTGGTTCTGCCTGTTCTGACCACAGGGAGAAATAGAAGTTCTCTTCCAGAGCTGCAGTGTGCAGCACAGGGGATCCCCTACCAACACCTGAAGGGTGTCCAGATCGTAGTCGATCACCCGAATCCCAGGGTTGTTGGCTCCATTATTCACTCCAGGTAATGTTGTTTTCCAGGGAGTCACTCCAGGGGCCAGGAACATGACATTGATTGGAGAACCTTCACAGAAAGGCAAAGCAACCTGTAACTGGAGACCTTGGCTTGCCCCACACCCTGTCCCCATCGCAGCGAGCACCTGGAGCTGATGGCACTGCCCAAGAGCATCTCTGTCACCAGCCCCTGGTGCACACAAAGATCAGCACATGGAGCAGCATCGGGGTCTGAACATGGGGCTCCTGCAGCCTGGAACAGGCTTTCCACTGCAGGCAAGGGCTCCTGCAGTGAGGGTGGCTGGGGAACCACCCCCTGTGCCCAGAGCACTCTGCACCACTCCAACACTGCTCCCTCACACCCCAGCCATGCCTAAACCCCTGCACAGGCAACAGGCAAGAAGCTGCCAGTCATTGAGGGGAAACAACATTTGAGGATGAACAGGAAGGAGGTCAGGAGCTACAGGCTGGGGGTGGAGATGAGAACCACTGATGCCTCTTGTTGCCCAGAGCATTTCACAAGCCTTTGCTGGCTTCTCAGCTGCCTTCAGCCAACAGCCACTGACACCTCCCATGGACAGTGATTCTGGGAGCTGGCAGAGCTGTCCCACGGGTGCTTGGGTGAGCAGAACGGGTACCTGTGTCGCTGTAAAACATGCGGAAGCTGTCGGTGTGATGGTGCCCAAAGAACTGGGCAGCGATCACCCTGTGGTGCCTCTGCACAATGCCCAGGTACCGCTCGTTAAAGCCCCTCCGGAACCAGGCCTTGCCTCGTTTCTTCTCAAAGAAGCCGGGAGGGACGTGCCCCACAAGGTAGACCTGCAGAAGAGCTGCCCTGAGCACAGAGCCCATGCTGCCCACAGAGCCCCGTGGCTGTGACTGCCCCAGGGGAGAGCAGGGCTGGGAGGAGCTCTCTACAGCCATTGGTCATCCATTCCTTTTTTAATACCATTTCATCTGCTCTGGAGGCGTTGGTCAGTGTTTCTTCCAGCCACTGGAACTGCCCCCCAGGATCCTCCTCAGCAGCTGTCTCGTCATTCTGGTCATAGTACAGGTTGGTATTGAGGACAACCATCCTCCCTCTCGTCCCTGGGCTGAGCAGCTTCTCACTGTAGAAAGCTCCTGAAAAACACGACAGAGAAAGAGCTGGAGGTCTGGTCACACTGGTGGCTGTGATCCCAGATCCCTTTGTTTCCACCTCTCTCTGCTCTCCTTAGCAATAGCCACAGCAGGGTCACTGCCTGGACCAGGCACCAGCAGTGCTCTGCCCACTCCAGGATGGGTGTTTGGGGTGACTCTTCCCTGTGTGCCTCTTGTCATGCTTGTGCCTGTCCCACTGAAGGGAGACCTGCATGGGGACAGTGGGCAGCACCAGGAGTGGGCAGCTATGAGGAGGCACAGCACTGCCTGCCCCAGCTGATACCTTTAAAGATCTTTTTCCTCCTTGTACAGCTCACCACTCTGCATTCTTTCCAGTAACTTGACAATGACAGGAGAGACTAAAGTATAAAAAAAAATTATCTTCTTGCAAGCAGAACTCCATGCCAGAAATCAGCACTAAATTGGACCCTTCCTCTGCCAGTCCTCTATGAATACTGATGCTCTGAGCTCTAAGGCAAGGAAAACTGGTCATGGTATTCTCCTACCCTTCCCCATCTCCCCAGAGTGCTGCCAACACGAGCCAGTGGGGCCAGACCTGCTCTGAAGAGAGGGAGGGAGGCATCACTCAACCAGGGCCGCCACAGTTCTGCTGTTTGGTTGTAGATCCTGTGCTCCTTCCCAGGAAACTGATTCTTGGGGTGGAAGTCATGATTGCCCATCGCCGCATAGACTTTGGTACCTGGAGAGAGAGCAAAGGAGGTGCAGAGGAGTCAGAGCTGCAGAGCTCCCCAGAGCTCCCCAGGGCACTCAAGGCCAAGGCTGTGCCAGGGCCAGTACCCCACCCCCTGCCCTGGGGCCACACTGACCAGGGGCACTGCTCAGCTCCGACCCCCCTCGGGATGAGCCCCCCCAGCCGAGTCCCTGAGCTGGCACAGCAGTGCCTTCTCTCTTGCTGCCAGGGGTTATGTCTGAGGGAATCTTGCGGTTTCTTCTGATTTAATGGCTAATAACAGAAACCTTTATTTTCCTCTCTCCTGAGTGAGCTAACCTGGAACATGAAAGTGCATCAATGCATGAGGCACACATCAGAATTGAGGGCACTGGGAAGAGGACAAACAAGTCCCAGTGACCACAGCCCTTCTGTGCCTTTCTCTGTCCGAATTCTGTCATTTCTCCACCCTGGTAAGCCCTTCCCACGAGTCTCTGTGCTCCTCTCCCCTTCTCATCCCCTCAAATCCTACCTGGAAATGTCTCCTTTATCAGAGAAGTCAGGTTTGCTATTATGTGCAGAACCTTTTCTTCTCCGAGCTGCTCATTGGGGACATGGGGAGTGTCATCTCTGAAAAAAAAGCAGCAGCACAGTCACTGTCTGGGACTAACAAGACCTGCACTCACAGCGATGAGCAAGGCACAGAAACTTGCTGACTTGTCTCTATGCCTCCTAGAAGGGATAGTTGAAGCTTTTGGGGGCAGAATTCATGTTGACTGGTCAGGGTACTGAGGGAGTTTCAAGGAATTGCACAGAGAGAAAACAAGCTCCACTCCAAACCTGCCAGAGCTCAAGGAGCCTTTGGACACCACTCTCAGGCACATGGTGGGATTGTTGGAGTGTCCTGTGCAGGGCCAGGAGTGGGACTTTGATGATCCTTGTGAGTCCTCTCCAGCTCAGGATACTCTGTGATTCACTTTACCTTAAAACCCCTGAACACAAGGGTGTAAAGGGGATGCTCCCTCTGCCTCAGGGCATGTCACAGGCACTAAAGCTGCCTGGAAATATTGCCAGGATCAGCACTTCGCAATCTGAGGGCACTATCTGATCAGCAATAGTGAAGCAGAGCTGTTTGCACAGCTGTGATCACCATAAAGCAAGGGAATACGCCCAGTAAGGCAGCAATCCGGTGCTGCTCCAAAGTGCCCCAGACACACACGTCTGTGTTTGCACTGACACACTCATGGCATTTGTAGTTAATGCTGGGCTGGCCACCAGCCCACTGAAGAGGGAGATCAACATTCAAAATCATGTGAGAGAACTGGGAGAAATTGTTTGAGGAAAAAGAATGCTCAACATAAGGTCACAAGGAGCAATAACTACATCTAAGCAGCAACATGCATCTCCGGGGACAGAAAATGAAAACATTTCATGTTTTCAGGAGGCAACAGCCTCCTGGAACTGGAGAGTGCAGCAGATTGCAGGTTAAGGTTGCACTGTGAGAAGAAAGGCCATACACACTTACAATCACCATGAAAATACAGCTTTTACTGTAAGTGCTGTTGGGGCAGTAAGTAAGTGCACTTGAGGGACCAGAAACCCACTCCTGGAGACCACGACAGGAGAGAACCCCTACTCCTAAAGCAAAACAGCCCCTTTTTGAGACAGGTCTCCCAGGTGCCTCATCTGCAGCCAGAAGAAATGCCACAAGCCTGGTTTGCAGTGCTCTCCTCCCACTGCTCTGACCGGCAGGACCTGGTGTAACACACACCCCACAGCCCCTTCCCTGGGCGTTCCAGGCACTCAGAGTCACTGTGGAGTCAGACAGGGCCGGGCAGGATGAACAAGCGAAGGACGGACCGTGAGTTGTGATCCTTCCATCACCTTACTGCCTTTCACTCCTAGGGTGTATCGGAGCGCTGAGAGCCCTCGCTGGGGTTGTGCTCTCCCCCACGCCCTCGTTCTTCATTACGAGGCACGTTCCCCCCTCCCCTCTCCAAAGTGGGGACCACGGAAAGAGCCCTGATCCCCCCCGGGCTCCGTACGGGCTCCGCTGCCCTTCCCTGTCCCGCCCGGCCCGGCCGCTCCTCACCCGGTCCAGAGCACGAAGTCGGGCGCGGGCAGGATGTCCCGCATGGCCCGCGCGGCCGAGCGGAGCAGCGCCCAGGGCGCGTCGCACAGGTAACTGCCCCAGGGGCCCGCGGGCCCGGACCGGGCGCTGCCCGACGGGCACGGCTGCCCCGCCGCCGCCGCCGCCTCGTACCCGGGGTCCCAGTGCAGGTCCGTGAGGTGCCAGAACCGCCCGCGGCCGCCGCGAGCACCGGGCAGGGCCGCGGCCAGCGGGCACAGCAGCAGCAGTGCCACGGACTGAGCCAGGGGCTGCATGGGGGCACCCTGGGCCGTGCCCTGCGCTCTGCTGTGCTTCGTGTTCTGCTGTGCTCTGTTCGGCCGTGCCCTGTGCTGTGCTGTGCTGTGCTGTGCTGTGCTCTGCTGTGCTGTGCTCTGCTGTGCTCTGCTGTGCTCTGCTGTGCTCTGCTGTGCTCTGCTGTGCTCTGCTGTGCTCTGTCCCGCCCGTGCCCCACCTGTCACCTGTGCCCTGGGCCCGCCCCTTCGGCCCCGCCCCCTCCCGCGGCGGGGTTGGGCAGCGCCTGCTCTCAAAATGGCGCCGGCGGTTTCCCCATGGCTTCTCTCTATTGGGCGGCGCTGGAAGACGGAGGGTCGCGATTGGTAGCCGGCCGGCAGAGCGCGCTCCCGGATTGGGCAGGCGCGGGCGGCGCGCGGAGGGTCGGCGCGCGCGGGCCGGTGGCGGCCGATCCGTGCGGAGCCATGTGGAGCGGGCACGGTGGGGACGGGACGGGGACACGGGACACGGGGCACGGGGCACGGGGCAGGGGCGCGGGGCAGCGCCCGGGGGCCGCTGGGACGGAGCGCTCGAGGCCGTGATGGCGGCAGCAGTGGGGACGGGGACCACGCTGCCTCCTCACGGTCTCTGCCTTCCCCCCTCAGGGAACTTCGACGGCGGGTACGGCACCGTGGGCGGCGCGGGGCCCCCGGGCGGCTACCTGCAGTCCCCAGGGGGGTTCGGGTCGCCCGCCGGCGCCCAGGCGGAGAAGAAGCAGGTAGGCCGGGCGGGGGGCGGCCGGGGCCGGGGCCGGTCCTGCCGGGACCGAGCCGGCCCTGACGCTCCGCCGCCCCTCGCAGCGGAGCCGCTCGCAGAACATCGTGCCCTGCACGGTGTCGCAGCTGCTGGCGGCGGAGCAGGTCGACGAGACATTCCGGATCTGCGACGTGGAGATCTCGCAGGTGGGCGGCCGCGGGCGGGGCGGCCCCGAGTCCCGCGGGCGGCCCGGGCAACCTCCCCCCCTCCCCGCAGGTCACCGTCGTGGGCATCGTCCGGCACGCGGAGAAGGCGCCCACCAACATCCTCTACAAAGTGGATGACATGACAGCAGCGCCGATGGACGTCAGGCAATGGGTTGACACCGATGTAAGCATTGGATTTGCTCTGAACACGCTTCTTTGACAGCCTTTGATAGCAGTGGGGAGAGAAAACTTATAGAATAGTACAGTGTCTCAGCTGAAAGGGACCTGTAAGGACCAGCTCCCTGCATCTCACAGAGGTTTTTTATCAAAAAGATGTAGCTTTTCTGAGAAGTGTTTTAGGAATAATATGTCCCTGAAATCCAAGGGAGATGCTGCTGTAACAGAGGTTACTCACTGTCCCCTCAGCTGTTTTTTACAGCTGAGCTCAGTTGAACAGCTTTGGGAGGGTAATCAGGCAGACATTCAATTGGCTTTCTGCAAGTTTATCCTGAGTTCAGAAATGGCTCTGGCCTGCCCCATTCCCCAGCCATGTTATGGAATTGAACACTTGCTTTTTTAGTATTCAAGAGTCTTTTCCTCTTGTTGCTCTGAGAATCTCTCATAAGCGGACAGAAACAGCAGAGCAGACAAGTGGCTCTGACTGCTCTCCAGTGTGTAAATGCTTTTATTTTTCATTTACAATTATGTTTATCTAACTGCTCTTACTGGACATAGGAATGCACGTTGTTTGTGCTTGCTTGAGATGAGCCTCCTTTGCTGAGTCATTTATTGTGATAATTGAGAAATGGAAATGTGAATCAGCAAACCTCTCTCCTTTCCCTCTCTGTTAGGAGGCGGGAGGTGAGAATGTTGTGGTACCTCCAGGAACTTACGTCAAAGTAGCTGGTCACCTCCGTTCGTTCCAGGTAAGACCATGTCACCTGTGTCTGAGTCCAGGCCAAGAAGGATTGGAGATCTGGCTCAGTGTTAGTGGGCTGCTTTAGAATATCCACTTAATCATGGTCTCTTGCTTATCCTTTCCTCTGGACAAATCCTTCAGTGTCTCTGCCAGGGCTGTATTTAATAACACTCTTAATTGTTCCTGAATGCAGAGGACCATTTAAAATGAGGACTCACTTAAAATGCCCCTCATCATCAATGTGTTGTTTTCAGCAGAGCAGAAGGCCATCAGGTTCTGGGATGTTTGTACTGTTGAGCTTAGACCAGGTTCTGGTTCATGGGGACACTTCTTGTAGCATATTATGTGATCTGGTTGCCTCATAACTAAATATTCAAGTCATGGTGCATGCATTAAAGGAAAGTCCAGCTAGTTAGAAGGAGAAGTGACTCTATCTCCATTGCTTTACAAAATCACATCTGAAAACATGTTGTAGTTTAACTCTGGAGGGCACCTGAGCCCCTCCTCCTCCCCCTGCTGCTGCTCACTCACTCCTGGTGGGATGGGGGAGAATCAGAAGGGTCAAAGTGAGATAACCAGTGAGTTCAGATAGGGGCAGTTTAATAAGTAAAGCAAACCAAGGAATTCATTCTGCACTTCCCATGGGCAGGCAGGTGTGCAGCATCTCCAGGAGAGCTGGCTCTTCACGTGGAACAGTGCCTGGGGCAGACAAATGCCATCAGTCCAAACACCCCCTCTTCCTCCTCCTTTCCCCAGCTTTATATACTAAGCATGACACTGTATGGTCTGGAATATCCCTTGGGCAGTCCCAGCTGTGTCACCTCCCAGCTCCTTGTGCCCCCCCAGCCTAACACCAGTGGGGCAGTGTGAGAAGCAGGAGAGCCCTTGGCTCTGTGCAAATGTTGCTCAGCAACGACTAAACCATCCCTGTGTTACCAGTACTGTTTCCAGCACAAGTCCAAAACCAGTCCATGCTACTCTATCCCAGCCAAAAGCAGCACAAGATGAAGGTCAGAACATTGTGGACTAGCTGCATGCAGAGAAGCTCTCATTCCACCACTGTCCTACTCCTGGAGGGAATGGCTGGGTTGGTTGTTTTGCATCTTCCTGTTGCTGTGATGTAAATTGTTTTCTTTGTTTTGTGGTGTTTCTTTTTTTTCCTCTGAAAGAATAAGAAGAGCTTGGTGGCATTTAAGATCATGCCTCTGGAAAATATGAATGAGTTCACCACACACATACTAGAGATTGTCAATGCACATATGATCCTCAGAAAAAATCTTATGGTATGTACAAAGATCCCAATTCCATTGTGGCCCTTCCTGGGTGATGGTGATTTCCCAAAGAGGGACCTCTGGCTTTGCTGGGGAAATTGTGGATCTGGAAAGCTTAAAGCTGGGTTACAGGGAGGGTGTAAGAGAAGTCCTGGCTTCCTTGGAGAGAAATTGTGTTGCAGTCCAGTTTCATGAGAAGCTATTTTAAATTACTGTCTCAGAATCTTTACCGCCGTGGGTTTGGCAGGCAGGTGACCACAGCACTTCTCTCATGATTCCAGTCAGCGTCGAGTGCGCCGCCGTCATTCCCCTCCGCTGGGATCGGTGACATGGGGGGCTATGGAGGAGGTGGCAGCCTGCCAGTGAACGGGCTCACGGCACACCAGAGCCAGGTGGGTGCCAGCAGCTTTTCTGGGAGCACAGCAGTGGCAGTGGAGGCTGCCAGGGGGTGATGTGTGATGTGGGGCAGGGAAATGCAAGTTCCATCACTTTTTGAAGACAATGGATCTGTTCAGCCTTGCTGACAGAGAATCTGAGCTCTGTGCTAATGGTGGTTCTTGCTTCTCCAGGTACTGAACTTGATAAAAAGCTGCCCTGTCCCAGAAGGTATGAGCCTGCAAGAGCTGAAACTTCAGCTCCGCAGTATGAGCATGTCAACGATCAAGTAAGTGTGTAGAAATGAAGGGTGTTCTGGAAATCCAGGCAGTCCTTTCAGAGGCAGAGAGGACAGTGGACAAGCCCAGGCACTCACCTGTGAATCAGTGTGGGTAATCCAGGTGGCCCCAGCAGCACAGAGCAGTGAGCCAGAGCTTTTGAAGGCTTCACAGCCCCGAATGAGCCATTGCCAGTTGAAGGTGTGACAAATGGTTTGCTCCCCTGTTTTCAAAACAATCTGTTTATCAGTTCAGTGGCAACAGGTACCTGGGTGTACTGCAGTGCTTTGGCAGTATTTCTCCTGTTCAAGGACTACCTTGCTCTCTGCACACTGAACACTTAGGAATAGTCTGTTCTGTTCTCCTTTGCTATCACTTATAACTTTTCCTTGAGGCCTAGAAACATAGTCATTAACATCCATGACCTGCTTTTACCTGGGAAGTACAGAGAGTGGTGGCCTTCTCCCCTGTGACAGACAGAGTCTGAGCTGTGGGGGGAGCACCTTGTCACAGCTTTGGAGAAACTTACACTGCTCACAGGACAGAGCCATCAAGAGCTTCCCTTGGCAGCTGCCAGGAGGGAACCGTGGGGATGGGGTCTGTAAATGGGAAATCCCTGGCAGAAGGGTGGTGACATTTGCTAATTAATTGCTAACTGGTTATCAATCGTGGGGTTTTCTTCAAGGCAAGCCGTGGAATTCCTCAGCAGCGAGGGACACATCTACTCCACGGTGGATGATGATCACTATAAGTCAACAGATGCTGAGTGAAGTTCCCTCCAGCTAATTTTAGCTCCAAAAAATGCTTGTCTATGTTTCAAGATACCCTGCCAAGCTCAGTGACGTGGAGGGTGATCTTTGCTCTTTGTAGAAGGTCCCAGTTACTCTGTGAATGCCTCCTCATGGAATTCCAGGACAAGCAGAACGTACAGGATTCTGTTAACTGGACTTGATTCTATGCTGTGACCATGTGACTGAAAGCCTAAGTAGACACGGGAAAAGTGAACTTCTCAAAGCTTCGGAACCTTCATTTTGTTTTGGCTCCTTAAAAGATGCCTGTTAGAAAGAGAAGCCTCTTTCTAATCTTTGTTTCTAGAGCTGTTTCTCCTAACTCAGCTTCCCTTCTATTCGTTCACAAAGTGGGTAGCCATTCCACTAATGTACAGCAATCATGAAAAGATTTTTTTTATTTTTTAGTTTGTGCATTTAAATCTATATTTGTACTAGAGGCGATCTTGTTTCTAGAGCTTTTGAACATTTCTAATAAAACTGTAACTTGGGGAGCCTTGCCTGCATGTGTGACTCAAGAGGCTTTTCTGCCCTGAAGAAGGAAACCATCTGCTTGACAAAACCTGGAAGTAAAAGCACACCTCATACTTAACTATCCTTATTTTTTCTTTAGCTTTTTGCTTTGAAAGGTCAAACTGAAATGAGTGTCTGGACAGTAAGAA